GGTCAGATTTGGGAGGGGTCCAGAGAAAACTACGGAGTCCGACATCGTTTTTGCATATTCACACACCGAGGCAATATTAATTTTAGTGACCTCCGATTGGCGTAACCGGGTGTCATTGCCGCCGACGTGAATAACAATCTTACTGAATCTACGTTTAGCTTTAGCCAGCAGTTTTAAATTTGATTCAGTGTCGCCCACTCTGGCCCCAGGGATACATTTGACTATGGCCGCTGGTGTTGCTAACTTCACGTTTCTCAGAATAGAGCTGCCAATAACCAGAGTTTTATCCTCAGCGGGTGTGTCGCTGAGTGGGGAAAAGCGGTTGGAAATGTGAACAGGCTGGTGGTGAGCCGTGGGCTTCGGCTTGGAGCTGTGCTTGTGGCGAACCGTAACCCAACCTCCCGGCTGAACGGGAGCTGCCAGAGGACAGTTAGCAGAGGCTAAGGCTATGCTATGTGGCTCCGCACCGGCTACAGGGGGCTGGCTAACTACCGCAGCTACTGAATGGTTTTCCATGGTGCGGAGCCGCGCTTCTAATTCACTAAGCCTCGCCTCCAACGCAGCAAATAAGCTACACTTATTACAATTACCACTGTGGCTAAAGGAGGCAGAGGCATAACTGAACATTTGGCACACCGAGCAAGAAAGAGCAGAGGGAGAAGCCATCGCTAACTGTAAAGCTAATATAGCTACCAAGGCTAGTAACGTGCCAACACCAGCTAAGAGATTAGCAAGAAAGTTGTAGAAAGGAGGAGAGCTATAAGTGCTTAAACAGAACCAGTGTGGGTTAAGACTTGAAGTAGACGTTAAAGCAACGTTAAAGCAACTGAAGTGAGAAAGCAGGCTAGTCGAATTCACCAGAGCAGTACAGAGATGCTGTCACAGAAACACTGGAAATGACACAACTCGCTTACCGCAATACATCACCACGTCTGGAACTGTATAATGGATTGTAAAGAAATTCGTCAAGTTTTTATTTTGTAGACAATTGATCTGTATTTACAGTGTGATGGGATGACAGCACAATGATGTGTGTGGTCCTGCGCTTTCATGTGATATGCGTGGCATTTCTGTGTGAGCCTGCGTTCGCGAGTAATCCATCCAAGAGTAATGTGTGTGCAAAGCTGTATGAAAGCTCTGTTATACATCATTTTATTGTCATTTTTTGCTGTGAAACCATTGGATTACCGACAAGTGCTTGGCCTGGTCGGAAAGCTACAATTCTACTGTTCCCGCTGATATGCGTGGCTTCTCGCTATGACACACGGTCATGGAGAAAATCCACAGAGAAGAACGGGTGTTAATTTGGATGCACTATGCGTTGTTCGGGCCCATAGTCTAAACTTCTCAGTTTCAACATTTTATTGAGAACATTTAGGAACAGTGCTGCATGCTAACTTTTGTCTGCACATTGTTTTTGTCACCATTGTTGCTGATTCTGAGGTGCGAGTCATGCGCTCTCGCTCCGCCTCCACCTGAGGTACCGAAATTTGGCACCATTTCATTTTAAGTGAATCCGTATTCGGTAGTACCGACGTGAATTGGTACGAAGTACAAAAAGTACAGAGTTTCGGTACCCAACCCTACCCCTCGATCAAACCTGTTAAAGAACAGGTTGAATTTGTTGGCTTTGTCCACATCACCATCCATAACCTGGCTTTTCTTCTTTGAATAGCATGTGAAGTTCTTCATTCCCTTCTACACCTCTCTGATGTTGTTCTGCTACAGCTTACTCTCATCTTTCTTTTGTAGTCCACCTTTGCCTGTCTCAGTCTCCCCTTCAGCTCATGCTGAACCTCCCTGAGCCTCTCCTTGTCCCCTTTCTTGAACACCAGCTTTTTCTGGTTCAGGAGCTGGTTGATATTATTGTTAACCCAGGGTTTATTGTTGGGGAAGCTGCGTACAGTCTTTACTGGCATCAGTGTCCCTACAGGGGGACTGGGACAAGTTTATATATTCTGTTAGAATATCCACCCTCCTGTCCATGTCCATGTTGTTGTCCTGTGGCTCTATTAGTACAGTCTAGTCTGTATATTCAAAACAGTCCCTGAGAGACTCACTGGTCTCCAAGGTCCACCTCCTGACTGAGGGGGTGGTAACAGGTAACTTTAATACACAGGGTTTGTATGTAGGCTGGAGAGAGATCAGATTATGATCCTATATACCAAGAGGTGGTGGGGCAGAGGCACTGTAGGCGCCCTTGGCATTTTCATAAAACAAATCCAGTGTCTTATTCTTCCTGGTGGGACAGTCCACATACTGAACAAACCCAGTCACATGGGAGGAGAGAGTAGTGTTGTTAAAATACTAGGATGCTGCATCTGAATCCTAGCAACAGTTTCATGGATGGCGTCACATGCCACTGCCGTCGCTGCCCATGGTGGAATGTAAGGCTGTCTTTGCACTACCACGTCTTGATGCCCAATTCCAATTTGTTGCCTATATCCGATTTTTCCTGACTGCTGTTTACGTGTTCTATTCACCTTATTTTTCACGGAAACACGGAGGCAAAACAGAACGCAGCCAGCTTCTGTTTTTTTTTGTGCGACACTTCCGGACCAGCACTCTTGACCACTGTGTAAATGTCCCACGGTATTTGCTACAGTGACATTACTGCGTGCATTGAAATGTTTACATTGCTGAAAGCAATTTTAAGGACTAACTTTAAATATTTGAAGTTAATCGTTAAAGAATAAATCACCTAGAAAGCTGGTGCTGTTCCACATAATTTAAAAGGTAACAGAGCGGTGGAAATGTCCGTGCAGCTGCAGACGGGTGCGGCTGGATGATTGATGCATACATGCTGATTCAGGTGCTATCAGAGCCGATCCGTGCATCACTATGGCTTAATAATCAACTGAGTCAATAAAAACAACCCGTCCTGTGTTAGGAGTGTATGTCGCTTACAGAACGAAAGAAAGAAAGAAAGAAAGAAAAAAAAGATAGAAAAGCAGCGTACACCTCACATATTTATTTCACAGTTGCGCACACGTTTGGCTGGCATGCAGAAGCACTGTTTGTGTGTCTGTGTGTCGAGGGTGTGAGCTGCAGCTTCAGCTGCTCAGGTAGAGAGGGTGTGTAGCCTTGTGTGTTTTTTCGCTGATTCAGTTCTGCAGGTTCTCTGCTGGCACACTGGAGACGGGGATCAAGCAGTTTGTCTCACTCGGGATAGACTGTGCTTTTCTTCATAGTTTTTGATTGACCTGCGATTTATTCGGCTTTCCTTCCTTTCCCTCGCTCATGAGCACGTCATCAAAATGTGCTGTCGTCGCATTATTCATGACGTACGACATGGATTGCCAGGAAATATCCGATCTGTCTGTTTAGATTACAGACCTGCTGGCAGATATCTGATTCATATCTGATATATTTCCACATATGAAGGAGGCCTGAATCTGATCTGACAATATTCGATATCATGCGTTTTTTTCCTGTTTACACGTTCATGTTACAGATCCGATCTGTGCCACTTGAGAGGAAAAAATCGGAATTGGGTCACTTGAACCATGTAATGTAAAGTAGGCCTAAACAATAATGGCGACAATGTGTGAAAACTCCCGTTGCACATAATATGGTCTAAGACCGACTGCCAACAGTTCAGTATCCTGACAGCAGATCTTGTCCTTCATTGTGATATGTCCAGGATGACACCATTTATTATTCACAAGCAGGATCATTCCCCCACCTCTGTTTTTTGCTGCTCACCTTCGCATCCCTGTCCGCTCGCACAGTAGATTTACACAGGTGTCAGACACATTGTCATTCAGCCACGTCTCCGTGAAGCACATAAGACTGAACTCCCTGTTGAGTCATCAGCTCCTTACCAATGCCAGCAGCTCATCACACTTGTAGGATAGTGAGTTTACATTACCCATAAGGACCAATGGCAGGAAAGGCTTGTATCTCCACCTCCTAGCTTTTAGCTTTGCTCCTGCTCTGCAGCCTCAAAACGGCGGGTGTTGAACTCTGTAAGTGGATCCTCTCAGAGCCAGAAGATCGTCCCTTGTGTACACAACTTTACTCATCACATTGGAAAGATTAAAATCATTAAAAAAGAAAAAAAAAATACTCAGACATGACTTAAAAACAGGAGCCACTCAGACTTGATGGAGCACCAGTGTGACTTGCACATATTATTAGTATATGGACAGGAGAGCTGTTAGTTTGTTTACAGCTCACAATGAATAAATTCTCATGTTTATGGGTGAGCAGCAACAATTAAGCTTTGTGCTGAGTGCCAACAGCAACTGATGACTGGAAGCTTGAAGCTCACAGCAAAAACATCAACACTTCTATGAAGTAAAACTGTTCATTTAATTTATTTTTTTTTGTTTCTGTAGTATAGAGTACACATGGGGAGATTTAAAAAATTCCATGATAGATATTGTGTATCATGATATAGCCTAAAAATATTGCGATATTATAAGCCCTATCGCCCAGCCATAATGTGTACCCCTCTGGCCTTGGTTATATTTAATTAATAACACTGGAACTGTCTACATCATGTCATAGTAATTATTTTGTCTGGTGGTGTGTTTGTGTTGTGTTTGTATGTATGTAAGCGTGGCCAGAACCTCAATTTGAAAAAAATGTAAGCATCCTGACCATTCCCCATCTTACTACTGTCAAGCTTGAGCAGTTTTAGCATGCGCATGTTTTTCAGTGGACAGTAGACTTTTTTTTCTACAATTAAAACTGCAATGAAAAGGTTGTGATAAGTGGCCTGTGTTACAAAAAGCACTAAAAAAGAAAGAAAGAAAGAAAAGCAAATAGCACAGCCAAAAGACAAACAGAAAATTCACATCTATTTTCTATACTACATGAACATGTGGAGTAAAATTTAAGCCAAAAGGTATAATTTGCATAAGGTATGATTTGCATAAAGTGACATTTTTTTCTGTTTTGTAGGTCTGTGAAGATGTCGAGCTGCCTCTGTGATTCAGCTGCTGTGACTGTGGTGTTCGGGGCTACTGAATACTAAAATAGCCTGAGCCAACACAAGAGCTCTTCTCAGGAAACACACAGACCTAGTCAAAGCTCCTCATCACCGCAGCCCTGTTAGGGTTGCTATGGCAGCTGCTGTCACAGAAACCAAGTGCTGGACGCAGGCTTGCCCCAGTAAGGCAGGACAGACCACTAGTCATTACCACAAGAGACCATCAAACAGTCAACAAACAGCACTTAGCAATAATTCTAGCACTCTACGTTAACAAAACAACCAGAGGTCTGTAGGCTGATGGTCAGCTCTCTGGAGGATCCTCATGAGTCTTGTCTGTGTCTGCTCAGGCTCTTGGCTGGAGACAGAGCCAGTACCGTTCCTTCTGTTAGACCATGTTTCACCAGCAGGACCATCTGAAGAGCCAGCTGCAGGAGAGCCACTCAGCCAGCAGGCAGCTCTTCCACTGCCAGGAGTGTGGGAAGCAGTACAACACCCAGCTGGGTTATAGACGCCACCTGGTGGCAGCCCATAGTGCTGCAGCAGGCCTGCCCTGTGCAGAGGGGGTGCCCTCCCTGCTGGAGCACCTTGGCAGCCATATTGACAGGCCATCAGAGCAACCATCGGAGGGCAACACAAATGCTACTGTGCCAGTGAGAGAGAGGAAATACTCATGTGAGCGATGTGACCGCCGTTTTTACACACGTAAGGATGTACGGCGTCATGCTGTGGTGCACACTGGGCGCCGTGACTTCCTGTGCCCGCGCTGTGCACAGCGCTTTGGCCGTAGAGACCATCTGACTCGCCATTTAAAGAAGAGCCATGCTCAGGAGTCAGGGTTGATGCCATCCTGTACACCCAGTACTCCTGTGACTACACCGACCCCTGCCACCCAGTGCCCTGTGAAGGAGGAGCCTAGCCCTGTGCCCTCTGATATGGGCTCTATCTCCAAGGAACCAATGGAGACTTTCTCCAGGGGCATGTACAATTCTTACGCCATGGCCAGTCCTGTCCCTGGGATGGGCCATCCTCATGGCCTGATGCAGGGCTCGTTGTCCTCAAGTGTAGGTGTGGCTCGCCACATGCCCCCCCAATCTTCTCATTCTCACCACCACCATCTGCAGCCCCCGACGGCTCCGCAGCAGCAGCAGCCCTACAGCAGTATGGCAAGGTACCAGCACGGATCTACCTCATATCCTCGCACCGACGTGGACAGTTTTCTGCTGGACCTGCAGAGTGCCCCCCCACCTCACCTAAGTGCAGTGAGCTCCTCTACCTCTACTTCTGCCTCCCCTCAGAGGGAGGTGCTGGGTGAAGGCGTAGGTGTTGGTGGTGACCCCCATCTGCTGTCCAGGAGCCCTGCTGTCTCCTCAACTGAGCTGTCCTGCACCACTAACATGGACCTCGGGCCTCTGCTGGGCTTTTTGCCCTTTAGTCTGCCACCCTACAGCCCCCACATGGGGATGGGAGGGTTAGTGATGAGCTATCCACCCGCCACCACCACCACTTCTCCTCCATCCTCTTCCACTGAGCTGTCCTCTCAAGCTCCAGGGCCTTTCACCTTTTTCCAGCCTCCACAGGCTCATGTACACCAGGGCCCTGGTGCGCATAACCACAGCCAGCTACCTCAGGCATACAGCAGTCCTGCTATGAGCACTTCAAGCTCCCTACCTCACTACTACCAGGCCTTTCAGCAGTAAGCAGCTCTGTCCCTACAAATGTTGCCTTGACATGTGGTCATGCTTTTTCATGAAAAGGGTAAAATATGAGATTAGCATCCTAAGTGTAAAACAAATGTGAGACTTTAGCCTGTCAGTGCTAATTATGCTAATCTTAGTTTCTTTTTGTAAAACACAACAGATCACCTCATCAGTATTACCTCATTATTTAAAAAGGAAGCTTGAACGTTTGAGCAAATGTATATGGTCTTACTACAACCAAAGCAGAGTACTACTTCTGTTTGTCAGACCTGTTACCAACAGTGGATGCACTTATCACACTTGGCACAGGTGCTGCACAATGCTGAGAGTCATCCAGTTTAATGTTATCATGGAAGATGCTACTGTGTTAGGGAATGTTCCTTATTGAGGCTGACTTGAGATTTTATCATTTTGGAATATTAGAGCATAAACAGCCTTACAGAGTGAGAAATGTTGTTCTAAGATGTCCTTGCTTTCAGTTGGTAAATATGTGCACAAAAAGGTTGAGAATGCAAACACCACTGTTTGTGTATATATGTGGTGGTTAACTCACTAAAATATGCAGTAAAGAGCTTCCCATTCAGTCACCAGTCATCAAGCATTACACCTACTGATGCGTCCAAATACATGAGAAGAGGAGAAATGACCATTAATGTAATAACCAAGTTTTATCACCAACCATTATTTCAAGTGTTGTAAATGAAGCTGTTTCTGTGGAATTTAGAATTAAATTTTGTTAGAATTTGGCCTCTCTTTATCTAAGTGCAGTCAGTAAGAGCTAGTGAACAATTACTGTAAAGCTAGACTGCATGTGCTATCATTTATTAACTAAACAACTAAAAATCAGAAATGTCACACAGTGTTACTGGAATTGCAAAAGCATTTGAGTAATGCCAGAGTCTACAATTCTAACGTCATATATTGAAGAAATTGTAACAGAGCAGCTTTTTAGGCCAGAATTTCGCATTGGGAGCCCGAGGATGTCATTCAGCATCATGACACAAACTCTAATGCTAAATAGCTACTTGTTTGGCAATACTACATAGCGTCATTCGATTGAAATGCACTTCATTTCATTTCATTTTCAAGATTGCAGGCCATTAAAGGACAACTTCGGTATTTTTCAATCTGGGCCCTATTTCCCCATGTGTATGTGTGTGTATGATTCATGGGTACAACTCGTTCTAAAATTGGTTCAGTATTGAGGGAGGCGGATGCAACCGGAGCCTCGAAACAAGCTTAAACGGTAATGGGGGCAAATACGTCCCGTATAAGTTTAAGCATTAAAAGTGCTTTTTTGGCCACTGACCGGTTCAGATCGCCAGTGCTATGAGTGGAGTCAGCTGTCAGTCAGTGTTGGAGCAGAGAGGGGGAGGGCTGCCCCGCTGGGTACTGTAAGTACCCATGAATCATACGCACACATACACATGGGGAAATAGGGCCAAGGTTGAAAAATACCAAAGTTGTCCTTTAAAGGTTGAAGTGATGCCAAATGCCAACCCCCCCCCCCCCCCCCCCCCCCCCCCCCCCCCCCCCCCCCCCCCCCCCCCCCCCCCAGCTCCTTACACCTCTCTGTCTGAGCGGGGCATCCAAGAGCAGTGCAGCAGCTGTTTGACGTACTTATCTTAAATCGCTTGAATTTAAATGGTTAAAGAGAGAACTTTTAAATGGAGATTTGCAGACACTGTGCTTACCAAGTCATTGATGTCAGGGTTGCTGCCTGTCTCATAAAACTCATAAAAGCACGTGATGGATACTAATCCCATTCAGGGGTTCTTAGTAACTCAGGGGGTGTGAAGTAACAGTTTTATGACCTGCTGAGTGTCTGAATGTTCAAGTTTAATGAGATGGCCAATCCAAAATGCAACACTTACTGTGCGTTCACACCAAACGCGATGGACACGATGAACGCCACAAGTTTCCATTCAAAATCAATGTAAATGACACGATGACACGCGATGTCGCTTCGGGTGACGCGTTTCAGGTGATAAGAGCGACGCGATGAAGCGATGACGCGTCCATTGCCTAATCGCGTGTGTCGCTTGAAGTTGAAAAATTTGAACTTTTCAAGGGACATCGGAGACAGATGGGATGGAGCGCCTGTAGTTGGTGACCAGGCGGGAGATCCTCGCACCGATACGGGCCAACAGGTCCTCAAACTAGGCCAGCGTCAACCTGAAGTACCACTGGAAACGACCGTCATCCAGATGCAGCTCTTGCAGGAGGTGATGATATTCACGCAGCTGTGTGCGTTTCTGGAGGATATTGTGAACCCAGACACGGTGGCGTTTGGGTCTCCGATCCAAATCAGATGTCCACAACAGATAAAGAGCCGCTACGGTAGTTAACTCAGCCATGGTTGACGAGAAAATAGCGGGAGGTGAAGAAAATTGTGGGAGGAGGGTTGCGTCATCACGATTGAAGCGATGATCAAAAAGGAGACATTTGTGATCAAGCGATGTGATACTCGCGTTACGGGCGATGACATCGCGTCCATCGCGTTTGGTGTGAATGCACAGTTAGTATAATAGTCCTGGATCAGGGCTAGTTAAATATGTGAAATAAAAAATGCGTGGTTGTGGCATGTGTAGTTGAGTTTTGAGAGGAGTTTTGACAACAGATAAAAGGCTTCCATGTCTTGGAAAACAATCTGTGGAACTTATCCTTAATGGGAAATTTTCAATCAGCTCTGTGTCATCAGTGTGTGCACATGCATTGAACATAGCATTAGTACAGGCAGGACACGATCTCAAGCTCAGCTCACATCCCAGCCACATCAGCTGATCTCAAGCATCCCAATCAACTGATGGATGAGCTGATTAATGGAAGGGAGTCAGCTGATACACAGTCTTTCTCTATGCAATCGATTGGCAAATCTCATTCAGGGCGCCCTATTTAAACTGCTTTGACCTGCCCACTGTTGCTGCTTCCTCTGCAAGCTGCTTTGCAACCTGCCTCTACCCCAGCTCCTTTTCATACTGTATCTGGCTTATCAATGTCATTTCATTTTGTCATTGATGCTCGCTCTGTTCTGTTCTGGGAGGTCTTTACTGCTGGTCTCTCCGCCTTGGAATTTCCATGTAGGTACATCAAAGGGCAGGGAGATGTGCTCTTTCTCCGCCCGAGGCTTTCTTTGTAGGCCAGAGGAAAGACAGAGAGGCCACAGAACAGAGCCACACTGTAAAATATAATACTACTAGGGCTGGGTATCACAACTTATTTCCTGAATCTATTCAATTTTGATTCACAAGGTCCCAATTTTAGTCGATCAGGGATATATCAGTTACAATACCAATTTCTGATAGAACGTGAAAGAGATTTTTGTAGAAATAATACTGTAAATTCTACAAGGAAGTATTTAAAAGAAATATATGAATTCAGAAGAGGATTAAAACTTTATATTTTATAACTAAATGTTTTTGAAGCAGCAACAGTAATATTACAACAGCAGTCACAATATAAACTCAGTATCTCATTGGAAAGAAATTAAAATGTCAATGAAATGAATCATTCATGACATCACAATACTGAGTGAAGTTTAGAAAGAATGAAGAACACAGACATCAGTCAGTATTAGTCCTCCTGTCCTCTCTGCTCCTCCCTCTGCTGCTGAGGAGAATCACTGCCTGCACGTTAAGTCACGGCTGGTAAATTTTAAGATAAACGGTTGTTTCAGCTTGCTAGTAACAATTTGCCTTTAGCTGGTAAGTGCTCTGTGCTTGTTTATAACATATTAGCAGGGGTGGATGAGAGACTGCGGACAGAGCAGATTGAAATATCACTTTTCTACATGTTGTGAAAGTGAACAGGTGTATTAGTAAAGTATTGACTTTCCGCGTGGAGGTTTTATTGTTCTCACAGTAACAAGCGCAGCTGTTGTCCACTCAAGTTATCTTTGCTTCTCTGTCCCCACTGCAGTATCTCTTCTCGGTATTTGTGTGTTTGTGTGTGCGTAAAAGTGCCACAGCAACCCTGACGCACAGACAGCAGGAGAAGAGGCTGCTGTAGCATGATAATAAATTATACCAAAACATTAAAACGGTAAGCTAACAGTTGCAGATAAAAGAGATTGGAACTTACAGTCTTTTCAGTACTGCCACCAATGCCTTGAGCTCCACGCCAGTCCTGTGGCTGAGGTCTGCTGGGTGATGCATTTTGCATCACAACATGCCATTGATGATGCTGGGGAACGCTGGGCACTGGTGGTACAGGGGTAAGCCAAATACCATTCATCTGCACTCACTATTATGACACAGAGCTGGTTCAAAATCTGCACATTTTACATTGAAGTTTGTTCTGGGTTTTCAAACTGCATCACTGGATATGAGTAGGTTGTAACTGTGACCTGCTTGTGAATTTCTGATTTTATTCTTGAATAGAATGCAGCATTAATTTCACAAAGACTTTAAAGAGCACTTGTACCTATTTCTTAGCTTTTATAATGTCACTGTTGGTATAGACACACATTCCTCCACTCCACAAGGCTGTGGAGTACACACACACACACACACACACACACATTGAAGGTTCCTTTAACAGAGTTATGGAACCAGACCAGCAACCTTCCAATAACTGATGCTCCACCTGTGACATTGGTCAAGTGTAGTAGAGATGGAAGAGCCCTCCAGCTGGATGTTGATGATGCCTTAATTCCATGTACTGTTTGTTGAAAGACTTCCTCTCCCAAGCATTGTAACCAGCCTCCCAAGTGTTGGAACAAGGTCTTAAAATACTACTGTTGTGCCTCTCTAAGAGTGTCTAATCTCCTGACTGGGTTTAAGCACTTACGACATTTCTAAAAAAGGATGAATTTGACCTGTACCTCAAACACACAGAGCTGTGGGTTTCTGTTTTTATTTGTATTTGCTTTTAGTTATTTTGGCTCTTACTTGTGCCATTAGATTGAAACTATAAAGGTAGATTTTATGAATCTAAACTCTATCTAGCGACAGATGTTGACACTATACTATGGTCAAATTTTCTACCTCTCCCTTGTCATATACCTTTCTGCAAAAATCATTAGACATAGTTTTAACCTGTAACAGCTAGGCAGATTTTTACCACTGTTGAAGATGGGGGTATGCCCAGAATTCAGCTTGAAAGGACCAGGTACACACAAGTCCTAGTGGTGTTATCCAGAGTCAAACATTGTTCTTGATATTTGCTTTTGATTATATTTCTACTTGTTTACTACCTCAGAGAAGAGACAGGTGACTGTCCATCTAACTGCAGATAAAATGTCTGTGTAGAGTTTTATTTTTGTCAGAACAAGCACATGTACTTTGTAGCTCCATAGTTTTTTACTGAGGTTAGCTCACAGCAGAATGTCTAGCTCAACAAGTACCACATTGCTTGGCAGTTCACACTGCAATTGTTCTGTTCTAAGTGTCTCTGGCCCTTCAGTCTGGAATGTTAACTCTGTTTATGAATCTTGGCCTCAGTCAAAAGGGATTCACAGTTGCATGTTGGAATGTACAACAACATTTTGGTACTGTGGATACTCAGAAGCATGTAAACTCCACTGGCTCAGTGAACATCAGCATAGATATTCCCTCTTTTTTTCCTCTTGCATTTTCACATAGGGCCGTGCCGGGACAGCAGACACTTAGGGCCCCGTTAAGGCCCCATTTTCATGTGTCAGTAGGTTTTTTGATATTTAATGAATTTCAGATTTGCTATAAGTAAACCTGAGATATATACGACAAAGTGTAGGACCGGCATTATCACTGCTGTCCTCCCCATGACAACACTGGTCTCTCTTTCAAACATTTCGGTCGATTGGTTGGTCAGTATGCTCCTGTCCGACCAAATTCTCACTGATCAGTTGTGTTAATCAGTTGTGATGGGTAGTCTTTGTGGTATTTGTCTTGCCCCTTCTTGATTGTAAAGCTGCTGACAGTGACGATTGCAGGGTTTTACTCTAAATCAAACATTTTTTAACACTGATTTCTAGTTGGAAAAGCTGATAATAATAATATTATTATTATTATTATTAATAATAATAATAATAATGAAGACATTCAGTGTCAGATTTATCATTATGGATTTATTTCACTAAGTCTCCAAAAAGACACAGCAGTTCAAGACTGCGTTATTAAACTTCTGAAAGGGATATAATCACACCAGAGCCTTTGCTGGG